TTTTTTTTTTTTTTTTTTTTTTTTTTTTTTTTTTTTAAATATTATTATTGAATCATGCGAATTTAGCTATTGATAATGTTTAAATGTTTAAGTTTTTAGCCATGTAAGGAATAAGCAAAACACAATTTTTTTGTCTAGATATAAGTTTTAGCGCGAAAAAAATGAATGAACACAAACGAATTTCTGAAACCAAATAAAAAGAACAAAAAATCCAACTGAACAAATAACGAAAACTTTCAAATGCTTTTTTTTTTTTATTCTATTGCTTCCCATTCTGATTTGGGTTGATGGGGAAACATAAAATGGAAATGTTGTGGGAAGTGGAAATTAAAGGGAATGCGAATGTATTTTTGAAATTTCCAACAATTTCCGTTGATATTAAATTGAACATCGAGTAGTAGAGTTATAGGTTCAACTGATTCGCTTAGGGTATCTAATATGGGTAGATATTAGAGTGGAAATAGATGTCCATCTTTGATATCTATGGTTAATATCATTTGATATTATTGCTGAATCTCAATTGAGATTTTCTAAATTTGTTGTTTAATTTTTTTGTTCTTCAATATGATAACTAGAATAAAAAATGTATATATCTAAAAAAAAAAAAATTAAAAAAAAAACTAGAATAGGTGTCTCGTTGATATCAGCTTTTATATGCTCAAAATTCATAGCCAAATATAGTCTGTGATATTATTGAGCCTTGATACGATTACAATCTGTGGATGGGAATTCACAAAAGAATTCTCAGACAATCCTAAAAATTTTAACTTAAAAAAGCATATCCAACTTAAAGAAAAAAGAGTGTAAAAGATGAGTATGGCGTGTAAAACAAAGTGAGAAAGAATAGATAGATATATAGAATAGTTGAAATGGTTTGGTAAATCACAAGAAAATTAGAAGAGAAGAGCAATCTAGTTGTATTTAACTTCCCACAGCTGCAGCTGCTAGATTGAGCATCTCCTTTTCTTTGAATAATATCGTAGTATTTTATTCTCTATTATATTTTATTTTATTATACAGAGTGGTAAGCAAAGCTAATTAGCCGATGTTTTTTTCCTTTCTCCCTTTGCTTTCAATTGGCTGCATTTGCAAAAGTTAGAGAGTTTTCCGATAGGGCGATTATTTATGGCTTACACTGTATGACTTAATATAGTTCGTAGTTATGATAGAAAGCCTAACCAAAGTGTTTTATGGAAAAGGGAGTCAAATATTTCATTGTATCTCGTATTAGATATATGTATAAGATTCATAATGGAAAATAAGAAATATGTCAGTTCTTTGAGAAAAAACTTTGATAGATGGATAGAACGAGATGGATAGATTAATAGATATATGTTTATATATACAAATCTTCACGTTTTAGCGTAACATTTTGAGAATATAAAGTATTTATTCTATATATGTATATGTATRTATTTATTCTTATATATTTATGCAAATGTATACCTATATAGGTATATCTATATAAATGAAATAATTTTTAGCTTGGCTCAAAAATCACTACAAAACAAGATTTTTTTTTCTCTGTTAGAGAAAATCGATTCATATTCTATATCAAATATTTTATATTCAAATATTCTATATTCTATTCTATATCAAAATGAATAATCATGGCTGATGGTAAGTAAACCCATGCAGTCGGTTATGCCCGATTGAGCAGTAAACTGAAATTTTGCTAAAGAATTATTTCCATTTTTTTGCTTCGCACTTTTCAATTGTGCCTGCATTGCCTGAGCTGCATATGCTGACACTACCGCCTGCTGGTCAAGTGTTCTTCTTCGTTATCTCCTGCCTCGGGATCCTGCGACTCCTTTCAGGTCTTCTCGAAGGTCATTGGCAACCGCAGCGCGTACAATGCGAATCGATAATGGAAATTAAAACGCATAATTTGAGATGACGAGGCCTGTGGTCTGCTTTTATACTTTTTACCAGGTCTCTCCCATCTCTCTCTCCCTCTCTCTCTCCCTCTCTCTCCGTCTCTTAGCTCTCTTTCTCTCTCTTGCACTCTGTGGAACACCCGGTGTCAGATCGGCATGTGCCCAGTTAATGCATTTGTCGCATTAATTAGCATAACAACCTCAACTGCGGCGCTGCTCAAGGACAACGCAGCAGCTCATTCCGTTAGCCCATTAACCGCACGGAGAGTGTCAAAAAAAAAAAAAAGATAGAGAGGGAGTGGAAAAAAAGAGCCCATAAGATGTTCCATCGATTGGACATAGTTAACGACTACAGATCGCCCATTGACTGGGACTTAACCTTGCGTTAAATTGCTGATGTTTTCATTATCGTAATACCCTGTTGGCACTACCCGTGCAGTGTCTGTGTGGCCCGGCCACTGAGCTATATATAGGTATACCCCATGCCTGAGCCAGAAATCCTCATTCTCAAATTGATATTCGGTTATTGTAAGAGATAATGAGGTCATACTCCATGGAGTTATTTGTATATATGCGAGGTCTGTTTAGAAAGTATTACGAATGTAGATTTTGATTTCAGGAAAATATTTTTTTAATAGCCAGAGCGAGGCGTGACACTTTCCATAAAGCATATATGTACATATATTCATTACCAGGGCAAGGAATTCAATCGATCTAGTCATGTGCTGTCCGACTGTTCGTCTCTCCATCCGTCTGTCCGTTGGTTTTTTCGACTGTTCGTCGTTCTGTTCATCCGTCCTCCGTCATCTGTTTGTGATGGAGCATACTTCATTTTGATCGCCTAGACATCCACCTGTATCCTTGTTTATCCATTGTCTGCTTATTCATCTGTCTATCCGTTTGACTATCCGTCGGGTTTTTATTCGTCTATCCGTCCATATGTCTCTTTATCTTTATGTCCGTTCATCAATTTGCTCGTCCACCTATCCCTTTTTCCATTCGTTCTTCCACCCGTTCATCTCTCTGTTTGTTGGTCGCTCTGCCCGTCCGGCCGTCTGTCCGCCGGAGTCTCCGTCTTTTATAAACCAAAAGCTTTTGCCTTATAGAGCGTATATAACATCATATATCATAATAAACAATTAGGTATGTCCACACAGCTATCCCTGGCAATCAAGTTGATCCCTTTCGGATTGAGGTGGGGCTTACTGTGAGATCTCTGATCGTTCCGAGCTGCCATTGAGCACATTTCGTAACCAAATCTATGTCTATGGGCTTGTGGCTACTGCGCTTATTTTGCCAGCAATCAATGGAACACTTTACATTTTCGCAATGTGTTTCACACTTTTCCGATGCTTGATTTTCCGAGAGATACTATATATGTGCTAGGTATATACATGTATATGTATATATATTACATATATATGTATGTAGTTGCTTCTTCTTCTTCATTTTGTTGTATTTTCGTTGCAATTTGGGTGCGTTTCTTTGTTTTTGTTGTTGCTGTTGTAAAGTGCGGCACATGAAAAACTATTTGACTATTTAGCATTGATAGTTGTTGTTGTTGCAGTTGTTGTTGTTGTTCGGTTGCCGCCGCAACTGGGGTTGACTGTGTGATTGTTGGCGGCGGTAAGCGAAAAACTGTGAAAGTCAAAAAAGCCTACGCACCCAAACATTCAGCCAGCCGCACACTCACACACACACACACACACGCATACAGTCTGTCCAGTGAGCGACAGATACATGTGGAGATGCATTAACAGATACAAATATTTTCGTATTGAGATACACAAAACCGCGCGACGCAACGCGACGTGCAACAAAAACGAAAACGCAATCGAAAAGAAAGAAATCAACTGAAATATATATATATATATGCACATACATATAAAATAAACAAAAACGGAAAAAAACATGGAAAACGAGCGGAGAAAAAAAAAAATGGCCAAGCATTGCAATGGAAAATGGTCGGCCAGAAATTACAAAGAGCGCATCAGTGGAAATTGGCGAAAGTACGGTTAGAGGTGAAATGCGCGAAATGCCCATGCAGAGCACCGGCACAGAGCACCGTCCACAACAGACAGGCATATATATGTATATATGTATAGGCACATGTATATGTGTGAAGTTGTACAAATTACAAACGAAATAAGAGAGTTTTTCGGGCATTCGAAAATGAATTGCAATCGCACTACAGCAATAGGTTCTATTTGCTATTCTAGTAGCTGCACTAACTTTGTGCATTATCGGAACAGTCCATGGCACTCAATAGGGGTTAGCTGCTTGAAGGGAAGATACAATAAAAAATTCATAATTCTTTAAT